TTCGCTTCAAGTACTTTCATAATTGTATCAGGGTTGTCTTTACAAAAGATGCACAGAGAAAACATACTGCACTGATAAAGACTTTTCCGGGTAAGGATAGGCAGGGGTCACTTCATAAAATGTAGTATAAACAAAACTAACACTAATAGAACTGAAAGCCTTTATAGTGGCGGGTTAGAACAACCGACGCTATGATAGGATCTCATTGTACGCTGTTCACTGCAATGCTTCAAACTGCAATGATCGAGGGGAAAAAGCATTTGATACCAAGCATACCGTTATACTATGGTAACAGGATATTATAGGCAACGTACAATACTGTACTGTTCTCTGCATGGTCTCAGGTCTGGCCTGAATCTGTAATAACGGTGCAACGGACATTAGAATAGCACCAACACTGATCATTTTCTGTACTGACTGCTGGATACTGTCAGCAGCACCTCTGGACTTACTAGTTGGCAAGATTCGTTGACTGTGGAACGCAGAAATAGAATTCAAGAGGAGACATTAAGTTTGTGACCGTGAAATTGTAGCACCTTATTGCGCGGAGCTCCAGGGGCGGCACTGATCATCGTTACGACGTCATCAATCAGGTGCTTGCTGCTGATTTATTTTTAAGACATAGTCGAAAGCTAAATTACCTTTAAAGCTTCTGGTTCCCTTAAGCCAAGTGTATAAAAGGGCCCAAACCACTGCTGTGCAAAAAAATCCGTATTCATCGGTCAAATTCGAACCCAGTCCACGTCAGGGGCAAAATCTATCTTCAGAAAATCCTTGCTACTTGCAGATCGATTTTGCAGATCACCTTTCCAGCAACGACGAAAATATTTACACAGTTCCGCCAGTGGCAGCGATAAGATCGAAACGTCGTGACGACACCATCAGTAAATAAGTTCGGTAAAAATGAAAAATTAATACTATAGAGAGATGAGCTGGGGCTACAAGGCGGTGAGGTTGCTTCTTGAAGCTTTCCGAGAAGCAGTTAAAATGACATTAAGCTCTCGTCCTTGTTTCTGATCTCATTTTGAGATTTTCATGCATATAATTTTATTGAAAAACAATGCTGAATTGCG